GAAGGAAGGGTCTTCTCACCAAGAAGCCACAACACACAAAGACTGCAAGGGTTTATGGAATATTTTAAGCCCACACTAAGCGTGGAGCAGATGCTGTGACTTGTCTCCGCCCCCCGCTCCGCACGCCGCGTCTGAAATTCTCTCGCACTGTGGAAAAGGTTAATGATCGCGTGTGCAATAGACAAAGCCACCCACCAAGTGTGGTGAGGGCCAGGGACAAGGCCACAGAGCCCACCGCCTGGGGAGGAACCTCCAGGATGACAGTGGCAATGAGGGAGACGTGGCAGCTTTCCCCAAACCCTGTTTCGAGCCTCAATTTGCCGGAAGCTCTGGGACGAGGAATGGGGCCCCTGATGCTGGTTGCTTATGGTCCCCCTTATCTCCCCAGTCACCAAATCTTCCACTGTGGGGCCACAGGAAAAGGCTCAGGAGTGGTCAGCATCCTAAACGTGGCTGAGGCAGAGAAATGGGAAGTAACAGAGCCCAGGGCCTGAAGCATGGTTCACCAGCAAAGCAGGTACGAGGACTGGAGGGGAAGGAACGAGCCACAGGCCCCAAGGGATCATCCCCTTCACAGGCTCCAACATCTGCCAGGTGCGTGACCTTGCGGAAGTTTTTAATCCCTTTGGACTTAAAAGGGGGTAATAACAGGACTCGCCTGTATTAAATGAGGTAACGTATGTAAGTTACTAAGAGCAGTGCAGGGCACACAGTGAGCAGCGCATTCGTGTTTGCTATTATCATTCTGCCCCCACTTCCCACCCAGGTCGTTTCAGGGTCCCACTGGGGTGGGCAGCTGGGATCCCGCTCACGCCCACCTGGTTTACGGCATTATTAATAGCTCCAGGCACCGGGCGGAGGGGGACCCAGAACACTGGAAGGGAGGCGGTCTTTGGCATCCCAGCTCTGAGCTCTTCCTCTCCCTCCCTACGCCACCCAGACCAACCGGACAGCTGGGGGCGGGTGCACCCGTAATGAGAGGAGGAAGACATCCCTTCCCAAGACTGACCAGGAGCCAAGAGTCTGAGTCAGGCACTGCGTGTGTCCGCAAGTGTGTGGGGTGTCATTAAAACCAGACCTCCTCCGTCACTCGCAGCAGGAGGTCAAGGGAAAAGGCCCCCGTGTGCCGTGCACCCGCCCTCCTCCTGGACTACAGGGCGGTGCTGAGCTGGCGCTCTGAGGCACAGAGGGAAAGAGGAGGTCGCTCTGAGGCACAAAGGGAAAGAGGAGGTCGCTCTGAGGCACAGAGGGAAAGAGGAGGTCGTGGGCAGGAGGGCTGCTGCCGTGAGTCCCAGAGAGCACTCCAGCGGAGAGCGGGATCCCCAGGGAGCAGGGGGAAGGGAGCCCCTGTCCTCTGGGGTGCTCTGTGCTAAGCGGGTGCTAAGGACTCCAAACGTGGAACCCTCGTACCCAACTGGGAGGGCGCATCCCACTTTACTAATGAGAGAACTCAGGCTCAGAGAAGCCAAGCAATCCATTTAAGGTCTCCCAGCAGCTGCCTGTGGCAGGGCTGGGATGCGGTGCCTGTTCTCACTGCTCCTGAAGCCCCTTTTCCACCGCCCCGTGGTAGGGCAAAGGCACAAAATCTGCCATGACTGTCCACATATCAACGCCAAAAGTGGAGGCCCGAACGTACGAACCCTTTGATCCTGAAATCCCACTTAGAGAATTTTGCCCAAAGCTACTATCCTAGAAGGAGCCTTAAGGTATGTCCCGGGTCAGTGACATCAACCAGAAACAGCTAATGAAGGCCCAGCGATAAGCAGTCAAAGTTGCTTTTGTTTAGAAGTGTGTTTACCTATACAATCTATAATCGTTACTGCAATGTTGGAACTGAATGTTTCGTCAGTAAGGGAGTCCTGTGTGTTAGATTCTCAGTCACCATCGGTCACTGTCAATGGGGGCACTCTACTTTTTTTCTTTGAAGCACAAATCCCAATCTTCGTTTCCTCAAATTTGCTCATCAGAAAGTATCTGACAGTAAGTGAAAAAAGCAAGTTACAAAGCCTAATTAGGTACAGTACAGCTCTATACATTTATTCGCATCTGTTGGGGGAGGGTGTAAAAGCAAGGGCATTCATACTCAGTAAAATGCTAATGGTAGTTCTACCTGAAAAGGAGGATTACAGTAACTTAACTTTCTTGTATCTTTCTCTTCTGGGTGGCTTACAATGAGCATCTGTACTTTTTAAGAGGCAAAGAAAGACGCGTAGCTCTCCAAATGTATTCCAGAGGCCGTCGTCCCCCACCCCCCAGGTCTCCCCACATCCACGGAAGGGGGAAGGCAGCTCACGCCAGCAGGTGCAGGCTGCCACGGGCAGGTGCCCACACCCCTCTCCCCGACAGGAGGGGCGGACACTGAGAACTGCAGCTCAACCCGCCCCAGCGTCCTCCGTCCCCTCTGGCTCCTGACCTGGCTGTCCAGCTCCCCAGCCAGCAGGCGTCTGCGTCAGCTCAAAGCTCTTTACGCCTCTCCTCTCAGCCTGAAGCCTGCGGAACTGGCCCCCACAGCCCCGTGCTAGCGGAAGAGGGAGATGTGGGAGGTCACGAGGCCACAGGACTGGGACACACTGTCCTCACAGCCCTCATCCCTGGACCTGGAACCAGGGAGGGAACCAGGGAGGAGACGCAGAGCGGGAGCTCACCCCCCCCCGCCACCAGGATGCCATCACGCAGCAAGCATCTGCAGCACCCAGTTCACACAGCCCGCCGTTTGGGAGAGTGCTGGGATGTAACAGAGAACACAGCAAATCACGCCTGTGCCCCATGCAGCCTCCATTGGGATGCAGGAGGCACACGGTGAAAAAGTCTAAAAAGGTTTATTACATCCTGTGACTTGTGCTACAAAAGAACGAAACAGGGGGCTAGGGTGGTGTCAGAAATCAGCAGTGGTAGTGGGGAGACTCTCTCTCGCCCACCCCCCCCCCCCCCCCCCAATGACAGAGAGATCCTTATATCCTGGACACATGGTCACTTGTCTCTTCACATCTAGCCCAGCTCAGGAACCTAAGAGATGATGAACAGGTAAGTCTTGGTTGAAATGACCTTTCTCTAAATCCCTGGCAGCGTGGGGGTGGGGAGTATGCCCTCTTCTAGAACTTCTGCAATGAGGAGCTAGTGATGACCTTCCCCTAGAAAATGACCTAAGGAGAAATCAAATAGAGTTTTTAAGTCTTAGAAGGTTACTGACATAAAAGATACACAGAAGTATTGCATCTGGGTCCCTTGTTGGCACACACAGTCCCAAATATTTGGCTGGGAGGTCAAAGTGGTTCTCTGTTTGTTACTTTCATTATTGTGATAGGGAAAAATCCTCACCCAAAACAAAGCCAGAACTTATAACGGGGAATCCAGTACTAAAAGCCTTGAAAGAACCACACTACACTGCCCAGACCAGCTAGACCTTCCCTGTGCTTCCTGCCCTCTCTCTCCAGGACCTTCCTGGGGGAGCCACAAAGGACCAAGGTTCAACAAAAAGGCAAGAAACTTAAAAGTCACACTATAAACGACAATTAAATATCTATTTGCAACACATGACAGATAAAAGGCTAACTTAACTCCGACAAACCAATTGTAGAAGATTAACGGTCCGATATAAAAATGGGCAAAGAAGACGACCAGGCAGTTCAAAGAAAGGGAACACAGATGGCCAAATGAAAGATTCTCCATGCGACTCGTGAAAAGAGAAATGCTTACAAAAACAAGACAGTAATGTCACCAGAATGGCAAATATGTTTTAATGTTTGACCAAAACCAAAACAAAACTCCTGGGTTTATGCCAAGATTTGGGAGGAAAGGGTACACCCTCATACACCCCATAGGGACGTAAACTAGTATAGAGGAACTTGGCCCGAATCTATCAAAATTGTACATGTTCAAACCTTGAACGGAGTAATTGCCCAGCTAGGAAATCATCCCACAAATATGTTCCTAACGCATTTTAATGGCCCCCAAACTGGTAACGACCTACGTCCGACACTTCAGAGCTGGTCAGATAGATGGCAGGCACCTACACACCAGAGAACTTGGTGCACAGGCTGTGAGAGACGCGGGGCCGCATACACCATGTTTATGGGAGGGCAGACCAAGAACAGGATGGCACTTTGGCTTTACTGTTACCATCCTGGTTTGTTTAATGGACTTTCATTG